TGATGTTCATCAAGACGCTCTAGAATTACCCTGAGTGACAACACCTTGAGGTTTGCGTGCCGTGGTTTTTTCACCTGCCATAATCCAGCCATTGATATTTCCGAAGTGGAATGGAATGCGAGGACTTCTTCACACAAGATCTCCCAAACTCCCACTCCCCGAGCAGACAGTCAGTCTCATGTGCCATCGCTTCACGGAACCGCGGAACCGTTGGACGCACCCCGAGGAGTCCTGTCGGTGGGGCCCAGCTTCGCGGAGCAGGAGATGACGAGCTCGGTGCCCTTCAGTGGCCTTACTCAGACCGGGAGCATCGAATAGAACTGGAAAACATGCAGTAGCAAGGACGCCGGGGTGGAGGCCATCGCTACGACCGGGACGCCATAAACCTACGGGCCGACCGGGCTATTGGGTTCGGGAGCGGACTGGGAAGAGGGTGTTCGGTCCCGACCCAGGGACACAGCTTAGACACATGACAACTGGTGTGATGTGGTGTGTGGATTTAAGATGATTTCATTGGATTTTGATATGCTTTGATCTTGAAAACTCCTCTGATTCTGCACCATAACCGTCTTGGACTTTTCTGATTCTCACGTATCAGGAACCATTTGTAGGGCAGTGCATGAAGGTTGTACTTGTATTTGCATGGACGTTCGGTTGACCAAAGGTGGCTGATACTAGCAGCCGATTGCATCAAATGAGTGAACTGGTGTGCGCCAGTGGTTTCTCTTTTTCTCAATTTAGTGATCTGGGAAAGTGATCATGTCAACATGGTGCTGTCGTTTGAGAGATCTGGTTGACGAGAGTCTTCCAAAGCATCCAATGATGACTTCTTCAAACGCAGTTTAGGCTAGATTGCTTCAGTGAACTCTGAACTCTTTAAGTACTTCAGTTTGAGCAGCGCTCAACTACTACATTTTCTTTGAACTGTCAATCAGCAGTCCAGTGGATGCAGCATTCGGCTCTCAACGTTGAGGCGAAGTCTACCTTGCCAGGAGCGGATGAACTTGCTCTGGGTGGGAGCGTGAAAGAGCTGCTGCAACTGGTAAGATTGTTCCGCACAACTAGCTTCAATAGGTCATTTCCTCGCACAACCAGTGTATTGTAGAACAACATTTATAAGGTGAGATTTCTCGGGTTGAAGGCAAGATGGACGTGCTGCTAGAGAGTTTCTTCCTCTCACAGGTGTCGGTGTCTTCTGTAGATTCTATGTTGGTATAGGCATTTGTAAGATGCCATCAGATTTTTAACTCAGGACCCACTCATCTGGCTTGTGGTAGCAGAAGGTGATTCTTTCTGGAGCGTTTCTTGGACATTCTTTGAGTGCATGCACCAGGCTGTTGGATTTTGCAGAGTGTGAGAACATTGAAGTGACATGAGCTACATGTGTAGCAGTTGTCTCAGCCATGATAGCTACTGAGCCAACATTGCCATTGGGTGCAACTATGACGTATCAAAACACAAACTGCATCACCAGGTCACCACCTATCAACCACTCGGTGATGCCGCTTCAAGCAAACTAACTACTTCAGCGCCTGCTGTAAACCCCACCCTGTCACTAGCAGCTGAACCGCACCTGACCCGTCCGCGCCTTCGGCCTGGCGCGGTTCAGCACGTCGCTCTCGGCTCGCGAGCGCGAGGAGTAGCGACTTGACAAGCCTTATCCAAGCAAAGCTGGATTTGGGCTTGCACGTGGTGTTGTCGCCTGGCCTCTCGACAGAAACGGACATCTTCTCTTCACTGCTGGCTTCTGAACTCCAAAGGGACCAGTTCTCCGGTGAAGCGTGTGGTTACGTATCCGAAGCTGGACCGTGGTTTACCGTACTTTCAGAGGTTTTGCTCTATGAGTTCCATTGAGGTTTCATTTTTGGTTCAACAGAAAGGACTCCAGGCAATCACCAGATATCACCAGGCCATGTTTCCTACTCTTTCATTTTGCCCAAAGGGGGTAAACGGCAGACAGATGATTCAACCCCTAGCTACGTGCTACACTGGTAACCAGGAACCCTTGCAACAGATATTTTGGATTTCTTGCGGCTTTGAGGCTTGTGCGAACGCTCCCATCTACATTGGTGTGAGGACTCAAGAGCTGAGGAATCTACAACCTCACTGCACCATTGACTCTTAGTACTGCAGACCAGGCGCGCCGTTCTGTGCAGTGTTTTTGGATTGATGCTTTGGGAGCTGACAAAGGTGTACTCTGTCTCCAGCCTGCTGCACTCTGTCGAAACATGGTCGACCAGCAAAACGTCGGACCAACGCCCCTGTTTGGTGAATCTAATCCAACAAGACCTTCCGGTACTCAGCAGACGTCAGGTGCTGCTGGGCATCGGTATGGCCACACTGGTGGCGCCCAAAGATGGCATCCCGGCCAAACCGTGCACAGCGGTGTGTTTTTCTCCGTCACGGGTGGAAGGTTCTTTTTTGGTGGTGCCTTCGTTTTGATTCTGTCTACAGTGTACAGTAGGGGCCAATGGTAGGGTGTTCCTGGTAAGTTTTGGTCTTGGGATGGTACCAGGTGTCGCTTGGTGTCAGTGTCCTTGCGTGGGGTGGGCAGGTGTCCCTGGTTTAATGTCCCGTAGTGCTTCTGGTATCTTGGTTGGTGTTCCTGGAAATGGTCCAAATCGGGTCATATCAGCAATTTTGGCCAACCATCGTCGTACGTCCTCGAGAAAATCTAGAATGGGCTGCGGATTGACAAGCCACTTGGAGTATCCCGTGTGGCTTTCTGTCCAAGCCTGCCACAAATGGTGCCCTACTATGCCTGTTACTATGGCTGGTCGATGCCTTGCCATTTATGAGAACTCATCGTCATCCATTACATTCCATTTCCCACGTCTCTCACTGAATCCGCACTCCCAGTTTGGTCATGGCCTGGCCGTCTCTCAAGATAAGGTTTCAGGCCAAGAAACGGCATGAAAGCAGAAAACGAACCAAGCCGCTCACAGGGTCAGTCGAGCTCAGAGGCCTACAGGGTCGGTCCCTGAGGTCGGACCTCCTCCATTTGTCTGTCCTTTTGGTGCGTCAGTGACAGCTTGAGGTGGGTCCCTCTTACTGCCAAACAGTGTTATGTCCAACGCAGGGGGGTAAGCGCAGCACACGCAAGCTAGGAACTGTTGGTGGGTAAGCTTAGACATAACTCAACTTCATGCTAAAAGGTTTTGGGAGACGAGAACACGCCCATTGAAATACTCAATGAGAAAACAAGAGAAGACGCCATTGAAATACTTGCACATTCACTTCTCAACTCTAGTGACTTCAGTCACACACCTCAGGCCGCCCCTGTGTCTATGTGAAGGGCTCCGCAACTGGGGTCCGTGTGGCCGGGCTGATGTTGCAGGCGGGGCTGGTGCAGCTGAAGGGGTGGGGGGGAAAGAAGGTAAAGTAGCGATGGCCTCCAACCTAATAGGAAAAGCGTAAATCAATGAGATGGGCTGATGGCAACTACTGTGGATGTCGGCGCTGAACGCCAAGTTGTTGTTGTTGTCGTTGTCGTTGTTTTTTGGTTTTGATCAAGATTCATGCTATTAGCCAGCCCACAACTAGTAATCATCATCCATTGAACATGGAAACTATCGATACAGCCAGGCCGCCCCTACTAATCATCATCCATTGAACTTGGACTAATTATATTTGATGATGTGTGAGGAACATTACAATTAGTTTCATCAATTTTTTTTGTGTATACTGTATACTCAAGGCCGGTTCCAGGAGTACTGTGATATGTTATTGACTCCACGATGATACCAGAGATTCTTTCTGGAGCCTCCCTTTCGCTTCTGAGGCGGCTGCATCTCCGTCAGTCCTCAAGGTTGTGCCACTTGGCACACCGACCGTCACGTCGTTCCAGTCTTCACTTTCAGACGTCGACTCCACGTTTCAAGGCCAAGTCTCACTTGAAGATTCTTTCGAAGTCCAAAGATACTTTTCCCCAAGTGAAGTATGGAAGTTCCCTGAAACAGGTCCCCTTGTCAGACCATTCCGGGATTGATCAGGAGCCCACAATGCTGAGTTGGGATCACTGAAGGTGGTCAAGGAGCGGACGCTCTTTTCGGAGCGGCCCGGCTCGTCATCCGGGTTCAAGGAGGACTCCGAAGAAGAGAAGCCGATATCAACAAGGGAAGCCTATATGCGTCTTGGAACAAGAACACAGCCTACTTTCTTGCACCGACCAACCAATGGACTACCCTAAACTCTGTCTCATTCCTGTCAAAAGTCACTGGAGCTTCATCACCAAGCCATCGAGGCCTGTGAGCACCCTGCTGCAGTGGGGCGAGCCTGGTGCCGTGAGCGGAGATGGCGGAGATCCCACAAAGCCAGGTGCAGCGCTGGTCAAAACGCTTGAGAGATGGAGAATACATCTGCTACGAATCAAGGACCCTCAAAAGGTACAGGTTTGGTTCAGGGCCCAAAGCTCGACATGGGTTCAATGATGGTGATATGTTTTTTTTTTCTGGCTATCCAATGATGGTACAGGGGTTTCAAACGGAGGAAGCAGATTTTGTCCATGAATGTTTTCGCATGATTCAGTGGTTTATACCGCATATATATATATATATATCGGACAAAAGGTTGGCGGAACACACTCGTCTGAAACAGCGGTTGAGATTCTCTCAGCCTTGGGGGGGCGGTTCTTCAACAGGGGATGTGAGACCCAGGACGATCCCAGACCGATGAAAGCTTAAAGCTCTTGAGTTTCCAATTTGGCGCAGACTCTGAGCTGGATTTCTTGACGCGGATCTTGAGCATTTTGAGCTAATTGTTTGTTCTTTCCAGGTGCACTTATCCATGAGGTTTCCCCAGGCACCTTCTTTCTTCACAGTAGTACCGGTTTAATGTAGCTGTTCTTCCGGTATGAACGCACCAGCACTACGAGTCGGTTTTCCGTCCAAAATTGTTCAACAGATTCAGCTGTTCACTGCTTGATACTACGTCGTTTGAGGGGCTTTTGCAAGTGTTGATTTGAAGAAACACGCTCTCCCCCAACCCACATGCGCCTGCCTGTTTCGATTCATTATAGGACTATATAGGACTTGTATGCACAAGTTTGTTTATAGCAACATCAATCCTGCACGACAGAGCCTTACATGCAAATGCTTTGATCATGTCCAGGTCGAGATTCCTTGGGCCTTCCCAAGTCCGAGGAAGTACCGATGATAGGGATCGGCAACGATCCACCTCTCTCATACATCCGTACCCTCTAAGCTTCGCTTGGGGGGCGGGACGACGTGGCGGATGACTGGAGGGCCCAAACCCTTTTGGTGGATCCTGGGAGGGTCAACACTTCGACACGAAGCGACACGTGTCGCAAAGCCCGGAGTCATTCGTGCCGCTTGCGACACCGGTGTGGGTCACGAATCTTCAGGTCTGGGCGGCAGGGGTGTGGGGGTCCCAAGAACGAATCATACCACCCATTGAGTCCGGACGGTGTTTGCTACTCGAAAATTCCTACTCCACGTGAGCCGTGGCTTAAACCGAAAAAGCCCAATTGCCAACTGCATGCACGCGAATGCGGAAAGCAGACGCACCCACACAACTGACCCTTGCTGTTGTAGTAGCTTCGTTCCTAAGGGTGAACGTTAGCTGTCGATGTCCATCGACCCTAAAAACTGCGTGAACGTTAGCTGTCATGTTCACCGGCTGGGTGAAACCCCTCCACTGGCGTAAGCAGCTGCTGGCACGAGGCGTGCTCTCTGACATCTTCGCCCGCGTGGGTGGTCCGGATGTGGACCGATCCATAGGCGGGTCAGCGGTTCCACCGGCGCGGGTCAACCGAGTTCGGTAGCTACGGAAAACCGCATGGGCTGAAGTAGAGGTTTGTGATATTTCCTTTCCGTCGGTTTAGGACTGGATGACTGGAAAGTGGTTTTGTCTTAGTAAGGAAATGGTTGGATGAATTGAATGGATGTTGGCATGAAGTGTGGCAATGGATGTTCAGCAGAAATCGGTTCTGCCATGTTGCCAAAGAATATCAAGCACTATGAATCAAAGCAAGACTTGAGAATTTGCATCCCAAAGTACCTTTTACAGGCCATGCAAGGGTTCTGGTGCCCAGCCTCTCCTACAACCTCAAGGTGTTGCTCCAAACTTGCAATGGCCAAGTTCTTTACTGCTGAAGCTTCAAGTTTGAGGTCTCACAAACCAAAGGTTTACGGATGTTTGGGGTGACATTTTGGGGTCTCACAAGGCTATATCCGCCCATGGTTTTCCACGTGGAGTGGTTGACGGAGCAGGTGTGGACGTGGTGTTGCGCATCTATTCCAACTACGTCGGGGAGCACGGGCGAAGCAGACCGAAGCACCGCGGCGCTCACCGAAGCATCTCTCTTCGGACGGCGCTAACCGACCGAAGCACCTCTGTATGAAGATGTGCCAGGACCTTCAATTCGTGACCTAACTTGATATCCTGGAAAGAGGTCACTTAGTCCCTAAAGAGGTCACAAACAGAGACTCCATGGAGAGGTCACGAATTGAAGGTCCTGGTGTATGCTGGTTCGGTTTACGGGAGGATGCACACGGACACAAGAAGACAACATCAGAATGTGGTACTCGATCGGTTGGACTACATCCTTCTTTTGTAAACATACTCAAGTTACGAAGTCTTCATGAGATGATGCTCGTTCTCTACCGGCTCCTTTGCGTTCGGAGGTTTGAGACGTTTTTTGTATTCAAAGAATGCGCAGGGGGAATCTATTGAAGTAAACCTTGGAGCGGACACATGCACCTTGATTGTTGACCAAATTCTTGATGCCACATGCAACAAACTCCAGTGATGTGAACGTCTTCTCGTGATTGGCTTAAGTTCTTCGTCCATTGGGACACTGGGTCGACTTCACGTGCACAGCATGTGAGAACTGGTTCCTGGTTCATCCTGCTTCATCTTCATCTTTGGACAACAAACACCTCCGCTTTCTCCACCCCTCTGGGCCGCTTTCTCCGATGGCGGCAGCACATCGGGCGGATGGGACCATCGACTGGGACTTGCTCTATGAGCTCGTGAAGGAGAGACGGTGAGCAAAAGAATGGATCATGTCGGACAGGTTGATCCCTCTTCAATAGGGTCAAACTTTTTTTTTTGAGGTCAGAAAAAACAAAAACAACAACGTATTGTTCTTCCGGCCAAATGCTTCTATCACATTGCTCTTGTCACTTCGCTTGCTTAGCGACTTAGCGTGTTCAACAACGCACCAGTCAGCCATTGACGCGTAATTACCAGCCTTACCATCACTCTGTCTCAGATCCAGAATTCAGAAGGGAAGGAGATGGAAGGAGCCAGTGTAAGTACTTTCGTGTAGTTCATAATCAGAGTCTTGGTTGCCTTAGCAGCCCTACTTGGCCCGGATTCCAAAAAGGGAAATCAAGGAAAACTGCTAGCAGGTTGCTGTGACATGAGTTTCGGCTCAGTACGGCATGGGTGTTTAGATGTTATTATATAGACCAAAGGTTGATGGAAGAAAAGGTAACAGTTTTCCTGGTTTGGTATTGATTTCCTTTATCAAATCATCATACTTTTCCTGATCTGCTGTTGATTCCCTTTATCATCACCACTCCCTTTTCCCCAATTCTTTCCACATGTTCCGCGATCCGATCGATCCTGCTGCCTGCCACAGACAGGACTGCGACTACCTGACCTACGATCCGCCGCAGAAGAAGCCGGCCTTTGCCAGTTACTTCCGCAACATCAACCTCTTCACCCCGAGGCCAGGAAATAGGTTGGGGGCCACCGGTATTGGATGCTAGGTTGGAGGCCATTGCTTTCACAAGGAGGGTGGGTTTTTCTCTGTGAAATCGGACGTAGGTCGGTCCGTCGGTGATGAAGTGGACTCACTCAGCCGACCAGTATAGCCTAGCGAGACTGTGGCGTCCGATCACCATCGGTTGGAGCTCTTTTTCTTGCTTGATCCGCAAACGTGTCACAGAGTCCCCGCAAGGGCGCCCTTGCTGCGTGGCTTTCCTTGCTGTGGCGAGTCCTTCGTGCAATCATGGGTGAAATGCTTTTCAGGCGCGATCGGAGCGCTGGGCTGATGGAGGAATGAGGATGCCCAGCTTGTCCCATGAAATTCATGAACCACATCTATATTGTGGATGAATCCCGGAAGAAGACGGTTTAACCCTCCAAGGACATTGGTCAGAACAGGTGAAAAGAACCCAGAAAGACCAGACTGGCCCTCGACCAAACAAGCAGAAACCACCGCAGCTAAGGAACGCACCAAGCCCATTCCAACACGTTCAAGAAATGAGAAGATAGGTTCCTTCACCGCGCGTTGAACCCGAACCTGGGGCCTTCTTTGCGGGTGAGTTGTGCAAATTCTGTGGACACATACTCATGATTCAGGTGAGATCGAATCCATATGAGGATTAACAACAGGGATCCTATGTATGAAGTAAGGAACGTTCCCAGGGATGCAGAAATCGCTTGGCCACCTCTCAGAGTTCCGGTGTTTAGATTGGATTCGCAACCTTGTCGCGCTACCTCGCGCTAGCAAAACGCAGCATTGCGCTAGGGCTGGCGCTCGTCGCGCTGCAGATCACGTGCAAACACGTGAGGAACATGAGCACGTGGTACGGCTCGACTGTTCACTGATTTGTACAGATAGCACCTAGAGACACCCCAGAGTCAAGTCAATGTGAAGTCGCTGCTGCAGACACCGCTCACAGTTGCTTGCACAGACACACGCGCACACAGGCCCAAGAGGAAGTGTTCCTATTGTCTTTAGATTGCTGCTGCCAGTGCATGGAAGGGACAACTATGTCAAAGCCGGCAAGCCAAGCCGGCGGAGTGCTCTTGATCACAGCCGTTTGCTGGCCTAAGGCGCTGGCGAAGAAGTGCGCTAGATCCATTCTAGACACTGTGCAACTTTGACCACTTGCCATGCACTACATTGAACCATACAACAGTGTACAAGAGCATCTGTTGTCTACATGAGAGCCACTGCTTGGAGTTGGTTTGGAGGGATGATTGAGAGCTGTACTTTCCAGCTCTGAATCACGGGGAGCCTAAAGGGCCTAGAAAGTGACCGAGATCCGTTCTTTGGAGATCCTTCTCGCGAGGCTATGAGGTCGAGCATGTCAAGATCTCAGACCCTGACAAGTGGCGCCCCGGTCGCCGTGGTTTCGGTCGGCCCGGCGTATTGGGCGAAATGGTGTCGGTGAGGGGACCAAGGTGAATTGATGGGCATTCATGGGCGCCCATAAGACGAACGACCCTAGACCCTTAGACTCGACGGCATGCTGGTAAACTGTTCAATTCTGTAATTCTAGAAGGTATGTTGTCACCCGGTGTTGGTTTTTATATGTTTTTATATAGCACGCACGTTTGGCTCATGGTGTATCATGTTCTATCCGAGGAGGCACGCCATCCCAAATAAGAGCCCAAAGATGCCCAAAGTTTTTCGTTGTTTGCGCCTGTGCTGTGCAAAAGGTTAGAAAATTATCTACAGATCCACAGCAGGGGGGCCAGCTTTGAGCATCTTTGAGCCATGTTGAGCCTCATTGGTAAAAAAAGACGTGTCCATGTTTGCGAGGCCATTTTTTCCCACCCATTCGCCATGTCTCGTCGAGACGAGTCGACGAGGCGTGGCGTTCCAAGGTTTTTGCAGATGATGAAGCCACCCGCGGATTCCGAGGGCAAATGTCCCGAGTTCTTGGAGGGTGTTTTTTGGATGAGGGATTCTCACTTGCACATGAGCCGAACTGCACGAACACGCGCGTGCGCCTGTCGTTCCTGGAGGGGTATGGAATTTTGGGCCGTGTTGCAGAACGGGAAACAAGCACTCCCGGTGACGTGGTTGAAGAAGTGGCTGGACATGTTGGAGAAATGTGCGATGATTTTCGGGCGCTCCGGAAATCTACCCTGTGAGTGAGGTAGCGGTGTGGTGAGATTGGTGTGTTGTTAGCTGCCTCTCAGATGAATGATGCATTCAATTGTGTTCAGCATGAGTTGGGTTTACGGCACCAGATGTACATCCCAGGTTCTTTGCTTGCAGCATGGGGCAGCTTCTCGGGCGCTTGATCCCTTGAAACCTTGAGAGGTCAGTGAATGGTTTGTTGCTTAGCTTGCTTGTTGGCGCCTGAAAGTCTTTCGCACTCTTCGTTTGGGTAATTCCATGCCACCCTGGGCCAACGAGAAGAGAGTCAAACACGTCTTTAGCGAAGAGAGTCAGACTTCGCTATGGCGGCATGGCGTGTGGACAAATCGACCACCCCGCCACAAGACCCCAGTGTGCACTCAGTTGGCGAGTTTCTTTTCCGGACCAACTTCCCCAGAGTTGTTTCATCGGGTCACTTCCCACAGAACTGCAGGAGCACCAGAATGGCGCACCATGGTTCACCGCCCAGTCATGCCGACGGTGTAGCAGTCGGTCAAAGGCTTCACTTCGTGAGACGCCGATCTAGCTTGGGGGAGAATGACCACAGACGGGGAAGAAAGGGATGTCCGTTCGAGGTTTTTCCATTTTCTCTTTCCAGTTTATCTTCTCTCTCTCTCTCTGTCCCTGTTCGCAAGGAGAACGTGGCCAATGAGAACTTGGTGTGCTTGGAATGTGCGCACTGGAACAAAGAGGGAGACATGGCCATTAAACATGCCTTCAAAGATTGGACTACCGGCGATAGCTGGTGCCTCGGCGATAGCGGGGCAGTCGATGACCTCGCCAGAGTTCGGAAGAGTACCGACGCGGTGGGCGACAGTCGCCTTGCAGTCGATCCTTTGTTTTTTCATTCCGTGCATTGGATGATCCTGTTTTTCTTGGGGGATTCTGCTCTTCTGTGAAGAGCTCCGTTGAATGCAGGAGCAAGAAATGCACTGTCATGTTTGAGGATAACAACATGTTTCAGATCTCTGAAACATTCTCCCCAGTCGTCGCTCCAAGTCATCCCATCCCTTGGTGGGAGGGACACCACTCCGTTTTGACAAGGAGGATCAGATAGGGGAAGTTGGTCTTCGGTCTCCAATGGCCGCTGGAGTGGGATGATCTTTGAACCCTGTGCTGGGCACCGCAGTAGATACTGGCTCAAGAGGAGCACCCAGCGCGGCTCCGCGCGCTCCGCGCGTGCCGTGTTGGCCATGGGTGCACAACTGGGAATGCTGCTGAAAACGGCCTCTGTTGGCTTGAACTGTTGGGGCTTCTTGCAAGGGCTTTATGCTTATAGTGCCTTGGTGGTCCAACTGGGTTTGGAGTTTGGAGGTCCAGCTTATGCAGAACTTAAGCTGGGATCATAGAGGATCTAGGATTCAGCTGATGCTGATGGATTTGTTGCAGTGAGTATGATG